CTGGTTACATCAGCCTGGCAGCCTTCTCTGGTGTCATGAAAACGCTACAGCCCGCCCCATGTGCCATCAGTACACTGCAGCAGAGGCGCCATACACCGACTGCCAGGAGCGCGGCGGCACCCACTCCCGCCCCGCGGGCCCTGCGGCCGCCTCGCCGCCGCTGGCGGCGCCCTCGTCCAAGCCTGCCGCGGCCGCGGCGGCAGCCGCCATGACGAATGCATCGCCCAGGTTGTCGCCCTCTGTGCTGAAGCTGAGGATGGCGGCACAGGGCACGCCTAGCTGGCACAGATGGCGCAGCAGCGGCCAGGGCGGCAGCAGCCGCTGCTCCAGCGGCCACTCCTCCAGCAAGCCGGGCTCCAGCGGCGGCACGCCCCCCGGCGCCGCCGCCTCGCAGCGGTGCAGCAGGCCGCTGCCGCCGCCGTCTGCGTCGGGCGCCCAGCAGCGCAGCTGCGGCCCCACAAGCTGCGCGTCGCGGCGGGAGCTGGCCTCGATGCTGCCCAGCACCAGCACCTGCGGCACGGCGCGCACGGGTGGGAGCTCTGGACGGTTGCTGAAGTGGCAGGGCGGTCGGCGGCTCTCAATCAGGCTGGCTTGCACTCTTAGACAGTGGGCCCCGCCCGCCTGCTGCCTCTCACCTCCTTGACGCCGCTCTGCTTGACAAAGGCCGCCATGCGCTGCGCAAACGCGTCCTGGGTGCCTGGCGCCGCCGCTGCCCGCTGCTGCACCACCGCCACGCTGCCGCCGCCGCCGCGCGGCTGATACAGCTCCATCGCCGTGGCCAGGCCCGGCACATGGTCGTAGGCTATACCGCCAACGCAGGGCAGCAGCAAGTCGTCTTCCAAACGAGCCGTGCGGTCCAGGCGAAGTGTGTTGATGAGCAAATCGGCGGCCAGCTGGGCCACGTTGCCAACTGCCACCACGGGCAGGATCAGGGTGGCGCCCTGCAGGCCTTGGGGAGGCGGGAAGGCCTGCATGGGTGCGATCGGCGAGTGCAGCGAGGGAGTTGGGAGAAGCAGTTTCACGTGCCACCCATCAATCAGGGGCAATAATCAAAATCGCAATAACAACAGGCGAGTCGTGAAGAGAGCTTGTACCTCAAGGTACCGAAACCCCATCTCCCTGCCCAGCCGCCCTGCCCGCCTGTCCGCCAATCCCCACCCAGCCACCACCACGTCTCCTCCAAGTCGGCCATTGGAGCGCCGACTTCCTGGCCTTGCAAACGCGATGGAGCCCGAGATGAGCCTGCCTTCGGTGGGAGGAGATGTCGAACCTAAGCGTAAGGGGTTCAAGAAGGCTCTGTCGAAGGTGGGGAGCTCTACACACGACTGTGGTTTGAACCCGCATGGCCCGCGTCGTCGCTTCTGGTCTCCAAGCACTAGCGCTCAGCCTGCGCTGCCTGGGACCCCCGCACCTGTCCGCTTTTCATGCTGGCCACGGCGACGCAAGCTGGGCCCCAGGCCTTGGCGGGGCAGGCAGCTGACGCCGCCTGTCGCCGCCGCGCCGCCACCCGCCTCGCTCCCCCGTTGTTGCTGCGCTTCTAAACCAAAACAGACGACGCTGGCCCACCCCAACTCCATCCCCACCCACGCCTGCCTGCAGGTGGGCCGCACCTTCAGCCTCACCCGCTCCAGCAGCAGCGCCACCAGCAGCAGCGCCACCAGCGCCCGCATCGCCGCCGGCGGCAGCGCCGCTGGGAGCCAGGTGGGGAGCGTGGCCTCCACGCCGCGCGACTCCCGCGACGGCGAGGAGCCCCTGTACAGCCCCCACCCCTCCTCCACCACCGTGGCGGCGCTGGCGCGCGAGGCGGAGAGGAAAGCGGAGTCGGCGGTCGGCGCCAGGCTGGCGGCGCTGGCGGAGGAGAGGGAGCGGCTGGCGGCAGCCAACGCGCGCCTGGCCGCGGAGCTGGAAGCGGCGCGGGAGACGGCCAGGGACCTGCACTCGCGCGCCAGCGTGGCGGAGGACAGCCGCTCGGTGGCGAGCCAGGTGGGTGCCCGGCGGGGGCGGATTCCGCGCCAGGCGGGCGAGTGGCTGGCTGGGCCGGTGCGCCACAGGCAGCTGCATGAATGGCTGGGGTCTGCAAGGCGCCGGCGCCCCGGCTCACAGCCCCGCCCCGCCCCGCCCCACCCCGGCTGCTGGCTGCAGACGCTGCTCAACCTGACGCAGCGCGCCGCCGTGCTGGAGGCGGAGAAGCAGGCGCTGTTTGGGGAGCTCATGGTGGGCGGGCGGTGCGAGTGGGGCAGGCCTGCACGCATGCAAGGCGCGGGTGGCAGGTGCCTCAGTGGGGGGGTATCCTGCGGGGCTGCCCGGCAGCCTGCCGCAGCACGGAGCGAAGTGCAGGCCTGCCCTGCAGGGGCGATCCCCGCGTATCCTGCGCTGAAATGGGCGGTGCACCCTCCCCTGCCGCCGCCACCGCCGCAGAAGCACACCGAGGGGCTGAAGGAGGCTGAGAGCCCGCAGCGCTCGGAGAACAGCAGGGAGGTGGTGGAGCAGGTGAGGGGTCGGCAGGGGCGGCGGCGGCAGGGCGCATCCACATGCATTCCTGGCTCGTGGCGGCTGCCACATCACACTCCCATCACACCCACCTGCTGTGCACCGAAGCGCTTGCCAGCCTCCCCGCTCCGGGCCCTCGGCCCTCAGCCCTTCAACCCCCTCACTGCACCCGCACACCCTGTTCGCCCCTGCCGCCCGCCCGGCGCAGGAGGCCAACGAGGCGCTCTTCTCGCTGACCGAGGAGCTGGCGGGGAGGGAGGCGGAGGTGGGCACGCTGCGCGCCAGCGAGGCGGCGCTGCAGGAGGAGGTGCGGGAGCTGGAGGCGCGGCTGGCGGCTGAGGTGGCGGCACGTGAGCAGCAGGTCGCCGCGATGCAGGTGGGGGGCGGGGCGGGGGCCCGCTGCGGGGGCTGCGGCTGCGCCCGAGTCGTGTACAGTAGTGTTGGCTAGTTCCCCCTCTCTCAGAGCTATCACGCATTGCCTGCCCATAGCAGCAAATGCATGCACAAAGGCGGGCAGGCTCAGCTGCTGCGCCTGGTGGCGGCTTGGGTGTGTGGGAGGACGCTTGCGGGGCCGCCTCGGGAACCGCAGCGCGGCAAGCAGTGCATGGTGGGGAAGGCCGGGCAGGGCCCTGTGGCGACACTCTCTCTGCCGGTCCCCACCTTTCTTGCCGCAGGCGGCCGAGGCGGAGGCGTGCCGGCTGGCCGGCCAAGCACAGGCCGCCGACGCTGAGCTGGCAACGATGCGGCGCAACGAGGCGCAGCTGCTGGCCAGGGTGGCGGAGCTGGGCCGGCAGGTGGGCGTTGAGGAGGAGGCGGCTGGGAGGGAGCTTGAGGCGGCGCGGGTGGCGCTGGCAGAGGCGC